CAGACATACATATCAACTCATTTTAATCTTGTGAGTATGATGGTATACGTCAATAGGTCTAATTTTCCCTGCATCTCAAAGCCCTAAAACAGAGGTTAAAAACCTAACAATGGCAAATTGGCATTTATGCATCAAAACTGGAAATTAAGTGTACAGGAAGCTTCTAGGCATCCATATGAACACAAATATGCAATCAAAATAGACTAACAACACAAGAATACACATATACGAATTTAAAAAAAAGTGTCAAACTGTGATGATGTTATGCGATGATTCCTGGAGCTTTGATGCGTGCAAAGGATGCTGTTAGCTTCAGGAGGCTCCCAGGAGTGGATTGATGGCTTTGAAATTGTTTGAATCACCCTCTAAATCAGAATTCGAACCACACTTTTTTTGTCAAAAAATTGAGTTTTGTTCTTGTGATTTTCACGACCCAATCCCTGTTTTCTTACTTTGGCTGCATTGTGTACATATATGGGACTGATTTAGGTTAACATGTATGGAAAAAATCCAAAGAATAAAGGCATGGCTTTAAGAGGAAATCAAATCTTGAAAAATTTCCAAATGTGTATATTTCCTCCCTTTCCAAGCTTGCACGAATCTTTTGGTATTATACAACATATTTGGATTGTGATTCTCTTCAAAATCGAATCAAAACAAGTCTTCATTATTTTCATATCATTTATTTGATTTAATTTGACTTTTAAATGATTAAAATCAAAATAAATTAAATAAACAAATCCAAAAATGCATGGAAAGGTATTTGGGTCGTGGACCAGGCTAGGAGTGTGTTTCAAACATAAAAAGTTGGGCCCATTTGAAGAAAAATGCATTTTGGGCATGGTTAACTTTGTGCAAATTTCCAAAAAATGGACAACTTTGACAATACACATCTCTCTCAATTTTGACCCTAAGAGGGTGTTATTGGACTTCTTAGAAAGCTTAGGATATCCTATAAACAACCCTATTAGTTTCACCTCAATTTTATCTTCCATGTTCATCTAAGAAGCTTTGACCCAAAAGGTGTTTTTTGTTGACTTTTTGAAATGACCTATAATGTATGAATTCATATATTTTCATCGGTGAATTTTTTGAACTTGAGGGATGAAGATGAGTTGTAGGGAATTGCATCCTATTCAAAATGAGCCTTGGATGAGAAATTTATGATAAAGTATGAGAAAGTTATGCCTAGTCAAAGTTTGGTTGACTTTTCCTGTAGAAACCCTAATTTAGCAACTTTTGAGTTTTGATGAATTAGGAGCATTCCTTGAGGAATCATGATTAACCCTTGATAAAATGATGGATGTTACTTAAAAATGTTGATTTTAACCAAAAATATTGAAGTTTAACTGTATGTGGCCCACAGTTGACTTTTGACCTAGTACGGTTGATTTTCAGGCATTTGAGCATTTGACTGAGCAGACTTCTTGTGCAAGGTATGAAACTTGACATGGATGATCTTGAGAACATATTAAGACCATGGAAAAGATTTAAGACCTTTTTAACTCAAACATCTTGATGAAAATGGAAACCCTAATTTGAGGTTCATTGTCTTGGGAGAGCATTTGTCTGGTTAATTCTTGGGCATCCTTGAGCAAGTTGAGGACTTCAATGAGTATGTTTTGAGTAAAAATGGGAGGGAAAATTTTGGGGTACAACATGTAGTTATGGATTGTAATCAATTTGATTATAGTGGATCAAGTCTTTGTTGAGAAAGGCAAAATCACTTTGGCGGGTGGACTGGATTAACTTCGTTAACTGTGAACTAGGATAAAATAATTGTGTTCATTTATTTTTGTTCTTGTTTCATCTTTGTTTGTTTGGGTACAAAAAGATTCAAAACTTGAAACACAATTCAAACCCCCTTTCTTGTGTCTCATGTACCTTCAAAGGTAAATCGCGGTATAATATGCAATGGAAGACAAAATTTTCCCTTTACTCAATCCTTACGAATGAGCGTGATCAGTGATAGAAATGATTACCTCTTGTGACGATTAAAAATTTGGTGGAAAATTGGATGAATGATTACAAGCGATGAACAAAGAACAACACCTCTACTCATTTCACACGAGCAGAGTGCCTTCAATCTCAATGCTCATTGATATGAATGAAGAGAGAGATAGATAGATAGATAGATAGATAGATAGATAGATAGATAGATAGAGAGATAATACAACTATGGTTCAAAATCAAATTTCATCAAGAGTGCATGCTTATGCATAATGGTTCTATTCATAGAACCACTTCCATGGGCTAAAAGCTAAAAAAGCCCACTTAAGGGCATTATACCTCATGACGTACTGTATTTCACTTAAGTACATTGTAGTTATCATATTCTATACTCCACTTAAGTGCATCGTACCTTAAGTTGTTATGTGATTCTCTTAAGTACATCATATACCTTATGGTGTTCTTTATTTTACTTATTTATTCTATTTTTCATCAATCTATGCTTATGTGTGTGACTCTATAGATTCTCGTGACGTTGACAAATATATTAATTCACATATTTAATATAATAAATAATGAGCAGTTTCTAGAAATATATCTCTCCTACCCAAGTCACAAAAATGTCATGTGATATGACAAAACCTTTATATGATGATGCTTGTGTGTATAATTACTATTTTTCCCTCATGTCTATATTGAATATAAAACATAGACTGTGTCACCCTTGTCTAATTCAATATTAGACCCTTAGACATTTATCCTATTATGCAGGATGAATAAATTTCATCTAGGTCACTCATGTCCCTCAATATGATTTGTGGAGTATCCATAAACTATTTGTATGATTATCATATTAAGAACAACGTTTGATCAACAATAAAGTACTGGACTCCACATCTAAGATTCATAGTGGTTTCAGGTCGAAGGATGGTATACACCGCTACCACAATGAGGATAACTTATGACACTTTGCATAATATTCTATGTTATTTTCTCATAGTGGATCATCAGTCTATTCACATAATAATCGCAATGCTTTAATATTATCCCACTTCACAATAAAGCTTGACTACAAATACTTTAAGAATAATGTTCTTATGTTAAATGTGATCTCATGATTAAGTCACACTTAATGTTTCATTAAACGGATTATTTATGCTAGGGACTTTATTATTTTAGAAAAAGAAACATAATAAAAAAATTCCTTTTAATTATTAATAAATAACTCGATACAAGTACCAAGTTCTAATAAAACTATTAACCTCTAGGGCTTACCAACAATTGGGTCTTAACACCCTTAAACACCTTGCTCAGGAAATATACATGTTGCTCAGCTTTATATGTCTCTTGGATGAGCGCCAAACGCATCGCCTGGTAAATAACAAACAAATAAAGGTGTAGGGGAAAACCTGATATTGGATGTGTCAAGATGGATGGCGATGCCAAAAAATACCTTTAAATTTGAGAATGCATCATCACACTCGCTCGTCCTCTCGAACTTCCCCTTTTTCTTTAGAGTGACAAAGAAATGAAGAACCTTGTCATCTGTACAAGAAAGGAAACGAGATAGGATAATTAAACGCTCTGTTAGTTACTAAACCTCTTTAACATTGGAAGGGCTCCTCATGTCGATGACGACATGACAGTTATCTGGATTCTCCTATATACCTTTCTTGGTTAACATAAAACCAAGAAATTTACTCGTTTGTATGCCAAAAGAGCACTTAACGGGTTTTAGGGGCATATTGTAGTTCTTGACTAACTTCAACATATCTTCTAGAGGGAGCTCCAGAACTCTCTTAAGACAAGCGAGATGGCGTGTCACCCATACGAGAGGCTCCTTAGCTTCCATTTATTAAGATGGATGCCCATTTTTTGATTATGTCACTCATTTGCTGGATGAATGGCTTGATTCGTGAGGACGTGGGGGAGTGATGTGTCTTAATCGACAATGGTGCGAAGAGAGTCAAAAGGAGAAAGATCACATTCTCATAAATAATAGGGAATTGACTGCCCAATTCACATTCTTGAGAGCGACTATTTTTCTCTCAGAATTTGAGACCCAAACTCACAAGATTCTTATAAATACTTCAACTCTTAAGTTGAAAAAGAATCTAATTCATTATGCAAAACACGATATACATAACATCTCACAATCCCTATGTGAACTTGCTCTAACATCACAATAATTCTAAAAACCTTTGACAGTCCTACACAATAAGGAGTTGTTATATATTATACTTTTAGCTAGTAAATAGTTAATAATATAATAAAAAAATATAACATTAATAATTTATTTATATAATAAAATAACTTATAATTTAATGATATATAATTTAAAAAAAAGTAACAAATAAATACTATTACATATATTTTGACTTGCCAACCCTATAAGAATAACAATGTCAAAATAAATAAATAAAGGTTTTTGGTGGAATGTCCAAATCAAAACACCTTAAATTAATTAATATCAACTATTAACAAATAAATTAAATAAACTTTTTTTATTCATTCTATCACAAACCCATATTTTATTTTATTTTCATTTAATAAGGGCATTACACAATAAGACTATAACAGCAAGCAAGCTCTATAAATAGTCAACAACGTGGTACCAATGTTTATGCTCCATACATTGCATAAGTTCAAAAGTCACAAACATTACTCATTGTGTTTCCATCAACAACACCTCGTACCTTGTCTGTTCTTTCATTGAAATCCGAGGCAGAGTAAAATAAAAATCTCAAAAACTCACTTCCCTTTTCTCTTTTCCCACTTACAAATGGTTGAACTCATCATCATAAAGAACAAAATGTGGATCTTTTCACATTAAATCTACTTCTCTTTTAACAATCCTCTCATAGCTTCTTCTTCCCTTTGCGTAATGGAAGTTATGACCAACAATATTATCAACAAACAAAGCAACATTCGTTTTCAAAAGCTCTCATTTTGGTTCGCCCCAACTACTCGCCCACCTGGTTGTTTTCATCTTCTCTTTCGCAAGTAGCAAAATCGTTAGTGATCACAGTGTGAAATTCAGAATCAGAACAATGTTTTCTTCATCTGGGTATGGTGATTTGGAGTTGTTGAATCAGTGTTGGCATGAGTTTGGAGGCTCTGATGGTGTTTCGAGAGATGGGTTGTTGTTGTCGTCGTCGTCGTCTCCGAGTGAAAGAGTTGGTGGTAAGAATGAGAATTGTGAGGCGAAAGCTTTGGCTGCTTTGAAGAATCATAGTGAAGCGGAGAGGAGAAGGAGGGAGAGGATAAATTGCCATCTTTCTACGTTACGTGGTTTTGTCGCTTCTACTCATCACAAGGTATGTTTTTTTTTTTTTTGTTGATTGTAAATTTGGTTTAAATAACAATAATTTTAAAAGAAGAATGGAGCTTAGTCTTTTGGTTACTATAGACACGACAAGTATTGAAATTTGAAGTGCATTATTGTGATTAAATTAATGGTTTTTGATTGTATCATTGTTGTCATTATATGGTCAACTTGTTGTGAGCGTTACTAATTTCTAAAGTCATCGATTATATATCGTTTGAGATAATATTGTTTTTATGGTTTCTTCTTCGGGAAATAATTCATTATTTATACATGTATATCAAACATTACTTTCTTTATTAGGTCACCATCACATGAACAAACTTACATAAATAATTTGTCACACAACTCATATAATGGTGATGTGGGACAAAGAAATACTATTATAATTATGTTTCAAGCATCTTAGTTAATGAATAATTTAATGTCTTTTAGAAAACATTAGTTAATAAATAGTTTAATTACTCTTTAGATGGACAAAGCCACGTTACTTGCTAAAGTGATTAGCCAAGTGAAGGAACTAAAGAAGAATGCAATGGAAGCAAGCAAAGGTTTTCTAATTCCAATGGAAACCGATGAAGTGAAAGTTGAACCATATGATACTAAACTAGGATATGGATGCATGTCTTACATGGCAACTATATGCTGTGATTACCAACCTGAGATACTGTCTGACCTTAAAACAACACTTGATGCACTTCAACTCCAACTAGTGAAGTCAGAGATGTCAACATTGGAAAGAAGAATGAAGAATGTGTTTGTATTCACATGTTGCAAAGGGGATAATAGTAATATTGTTAACGTTGAAGCATGTCAAAGTATTGCAAGTGTTGTTCATAAGGCACTTGGTTCTGTGTTGGAAAAGGCTTCTACATCAATGGAATTTGCACTTAGAACTTCCTATCCAAACAAGAGAAGAAGAATGTGTTGATGTGTTGGATTGTTATTTTATGTTTAGTTGTATTGTAATGTTATGAGGAACTCTAAAATTTTCTTATGTTGAAGCCTAAACTAGTGTGTGAGTGTGTGGACCCGTTAGAGATTTATGGAGAAAAATACATGTAATAGGGCCTAAGATGCTTAATGTTTGAGTGTTTACTTAAATTATATTATGTAATTTTCATCAAATCACACTATACAATTATGTTGATAGTACCAAAATGTCAATAGGGCAATATTTTCTCCATGGGTAATAACTAATAAGAGCTGAAAATAGACAACTAACAATATTCTCTTATTATAGACTTCATAATTGTAGACTTCATATTCTTGTGGTCACTAAACACCGCGAATTTGAATCTAAACGGATAATGTCTTCAAATTTTCAACACATACACCACAACTGTTAACTCTAAGTCATACGTAAGATAATTCCTTTCATAAACTTTCAGTTGTCTAGACGTATAAGCAACAACTTAACAATTCTGCATCAGCACACCACTAAGACCCATCTTTGATGCATCACAATTGAAAGCTCCAAAGATTTGAGCTCTAAAGGTTTGACTAATTTTGGCTAAACTAGATGTTGAACAAGATGTCCTATCATGATCATCCAATATCTTGTCTGGTATAACTGGATGTTTGAATTCTGTGAGTAGGTTACAAATATGGAAGATTTTGGAAATACTTGATAATCATATGATGTGTCCAAGAAGAAGAAATCAGAGATGTTGTTCAAGAAGGCCTGCCATGCAGAGAGACATACATGTCGAATGAAGATGTTCCATGAAGAGTCATTCGACATCGTGCATGTGATCAGCTGGACAATTGGATTTAATTGAGATATTTCAGATGCAGAAGATTCTGAAATATTGTACAATCCTATGTGGCGTAGAGTTTGAAGATTGAAGAAGATTCAAGCTGAAATCAAGGAGTTAAATTAGTTTCTAATTATGAAGATAAATTAGGGAACTAATAATTAAAGTTCTATGATTTATGAGATATTTATGTTGCCTCATCTACAACAGGTCAACAATATTTTGAAGCCCAAGTCCAGAACATTGAAGATTATAAAAGTATGACTTAGACTTAGGGCTTGGTAACTAAACCAGGAGTAACAAATTTATGAAGAAATATAAGGGTTTCAGATGACTTAGACTTAGGGCTTGGTAACTAAATTGTGTTTGAGAAACCAAGTCTTGGAATGATGTATCATCTCAAATCTTTGTTCATAAGGGCAAAGCTAGATGGTGTGCCAGTCAACAAAGTGGGTCAGAGCTTTGACCATACAATATGGTTTTGTCCAACTATGAAGGAAAAACCAACAACATATTAGGAGTGATCTAGGTGGAGCTTGCTTTCAGGACCATTATCCAATTGATGCTGTTTATGGTAATAGACTCTAAAGCCAATTTCAATTTACTACTCGACCGTGAGTGGATTCATGGAATAGGAGCAGTATCGTCGATGCTACACCAAAGGATATCTATCTGGAGGAAAGATGGTGCCGTGGAGAACATAGAGGCGGATCAGAGCTATTACAGCGTTGATGGTAGCAAAGGTGGAAATAAATCGTTTGACCAACACTTGGCGAATGTAGCACCTTGTAACGAAGATGAAAGTGCCCCTAAGGAAAATGTAAACAATTTTTTGAGTTTGGATCCTGATCATGGATTCACATGGGACACAGACGAGGCAGTGGTGCCTAGGGGGATGATACCACCCATAAGGTGGTATGACGCCGAAGATAATGACTAGTGAGTCAGAAAGCCTGGCTCGAATTTTGGTCTATGTGGCTGAAAACAAAAGAAAATCGGTTTTAGAGGCTAAGAAACTGTAAAACATGACTATCGAAGCCAAAAAATAATAATCAAGAAGTAGGTCATTATGGCCAAACAACAGCTTTAGAAAGCCGGAGGCTAGATTGTATCATGACAATGAGCCTTTAGGGTTCGAAAAAGACCCATCAAGTCTTGTGCAGAAGATGCAAGCTCAAGATCCTCTAGAGGAAATTAATCTAGGGGATGGTGTTACGAAGAGGCCAACTTACATCAGCACGGGTCGAGGATGAAAGTCGGATTGATCAAGCTATTGAAGAAATATACAGATTTCTTCGCTTGGGACTATGGTGAGATGCCTGGACTAAGTCAAAGTGTAGTAGAGCATCACTTGCCTATTCAACCAGTCAAGAGGCTAGTGAAGCAGCATCCTAGAAGGTTCGCTCCAAAAATCACCTTGAAGATCAAACAGGAGATCGAAATGCTGCTCAAAAGCAAGTTCATCAGAATTGCAAGGAACGTCGAATGGTTAGCAAACATTGTCCCTGTTATTAAAAAGAATGAAACTCTTAGAATTTGTATAGAATTTAGGGATTTAAATAATGCCACCCTTAAGGATGAATATTCAATGCATGTAGCTGAAATGCTAGTCAATTCAGCTACACGATATGAATGCCTTAGTATGCTCGACAGATATTCTGGCTATAACCATATTTTTATAGCAGATGCAGGTGTCCAAAATGGCATTTAGATGCTGTGATCGGTGGATCTGGAACTGACTGTTTAACGCTGGTTCGCGAAATGTCGCGGAAGCAAGAGTCGCCACCGTCTTTTATTTTCTCCAAATGGAAAGGACAAAAGCACAGAAAAATTCCTTAAAGAGATTGCTCTCGGTTCGGGAGGTAGATTATAGAAAGGGAAGGTATTAGCACCCTTTCTATCCATGGTTATCCATGGGCTCTTAGATACTTGCTCATTTGTGTTTTCAAAAATGGTTTGCTTGCTTTTCAATTGTGGGTTTTAAAGAGTTTCTTTGAAAATTTCAGTTCGACTCTTGTATCGGTCCTCAAGAGTGTTTGAAAAATTTGCTTTCGAAAGCTTTTTGAAAATGTGTTGGTGTGAAAAGTATTTTTGAATTTGTTTTTGAATTTAGAGCAAGTATCTAGAGTCGTCTACCTACCCTAAGGAATTCGTCTGTGTAAATGTCCTTTAAAGTAGTGCCATCCCACCATTGAGAGGTAGGTAGCACCACCGTTGGAGGTGTTCGGGTCAATTCGAGGTTCGGGACATGGTGATCACCAGAGCAATGGGAAGACACCTTAGAAGCTACCCTCATGCCAGGTTCCTGGATCATGAGGACTTACTAAGACATCCTCTACTCGACGATCACCTTTCGAGGCAAGGCAACAGTGAGGCGTACCCTAGGGGTGGTGTGTGATTTGTGTGTCGTTTTCAGATATTTTTGTCTTTTGTCATGTTATTGGTGATCTAGCGTTTGTTTTTATTTTTGTCCATACATTCTTTCATGCCATTATTTAACAGTTAAAATTTGCGAAAAGTAAAAGATTCTAAGCTATTACAAAAGGCGCGGGTCCACATCGCCAAAATTAAACCAGGACCCGATTTGACAGAAAATAAAGAATTAAAGAAAATAAAGAATTAAAAGTGCAAGAAATTAATTACATGGCTTCGGGAGAGATACATAAATATTTAAACGAAATAAAATAAATATGCGAATTAAATGGGAATTAAAAACGAGGGCGTTGGACCCTTTTTGCAAAATTAAATTAAATGGTGACATTAATTAATTAAAAAAAGAAAGGAAATTGTTTTTTGGTATTTTATGATTTTTTGGATTTTAATGAAAAAGAATTAAATGCAATTAAACCTAATTCTACAATTTTTATTTTATTATGAAAACATTGAAATTTTTAACCTAAAAATAACCCTAATTTTTATATACAATTTAATTATAAAAATAAATACCTAATATTTAATTATTATGGAATAAAAGAAAAAAGATGAAAATGAATTAAAACCCTAGTTCTATGTTTTTTAGATTTTTATTAAAATAATTAAAATTAAAACCTAATTTAAAACTAATTTAATTATATGCAATTTAATTACAAAAATACTTAAAATAAAATATTTATCATTTTTCTAATTTTTTTTATGTGTTTTTTATATTTATGAAAATAATAAGTTAATTAAACAAACAAAAATTAAAAGAAAATAAAAATTATAAAAATAAAGAAAGTTAAGAATATTTGCAAACCAAGGGGGGGTATCTGTCCCCAAAGTGGAGATTAAGTCCAATAATTCTGGCCCATTTGGAGGCCTTGTTGACCTTTCCATGACGCGTGTACACGCGTTGACTAGGGTTTATGGTGTTCTCCAGATTCTAGCCTTCTGATTGATCTTGAGATGGACGTGGCAAGCTTGATTTGGAGGATGCACGGTGTTCCTTGGTCACGAAATTACATACAAGCGCGTTAGTAAAAATAACATGAAAGGGATGGGGGACCTGGGGCTCGAACCCAGGTCCTAGAGATTACCAGTTTTATGCCTTGCCAATCGTACTGAACGCGCTTCTTGTATATTAAATAACTGAAGAATAATATAATGAGAAAATAATGGTTAATAGGAAGTCAGCGCGCGGAATTTGAATGCTCCAATCATGGACAACCACCTTGCCTTCTTCTTCCTTGGCCTGATTTTTCCTGAAACATAAACAGAATAAGCAACGGTTTTGAAACGTTGCTGTAGGCAATATACAAGAAAATAACGATTAGCACATGAGCATTCATAAATTGTTCGGACTAGGGCCATTAGAATCGTCTCTCTCTCGTGATTCCCACTATGTATCTCTCATGGCCTAATTATTCCAGGTTTGAAAACCCCCAAATTGATTTCCACGGAAACCTAATATGCTTTCATGGTAGATTCTTCGTTTGGGCACGAAACTTCAATCAAACTATGCAGTTAGCTTGCAAACATCATTCTAAACACAAAAACAACAACGAAACATGTTAAAAATGCATGAATAATGGAAAACGATTTTGGAATTTTCTCTACCAACTTCAATGATGATTTCGCGTTTTCTTGAGTATGGGGCTTAGGGAATGATTGGAATACGTCCTATAATCCTCAAAGAAGCTAATGGAATCACTATTTTGCCCTGAATCGCCCTAGAATTAGGTTTTCAGAATTGAAT